ACCACCATGCCCAGCTAATTTTTTGTATTTTTAGTAGAGACGGGGTTTCACCATGTTGACCAGGATGGTCTCGATCTCTTGACCTCGTGATCCACCTGCCTCGGCCTCCCACAGTGCTGGGATTACAGGCTTGAGCCACCGCGCCCGGCCTGTATTTCATTTATTAGCTCCCCCTTTTCTAGGTTCAGTTTTTCATGTCGCTGATTAGGAGACATAGTTGCTTACTTTCTTCATCACCCTGTTCTGAATGCACTGGAGACTGTGGAGCTCCGGTGCTGTGGGGCCTTGGTGGTGTTCCCTACACTGTGGAGCCCTGGTGCTGTGAGTTCCTGGTGGTGTTCCCTACACTGTGGAGCCCTGGTGCTGTGTTTTTTGAAGCTGCGGGGCCCTGGTGGTGTTCCCTACACTGTGGAGCCCTGGTGCTGTGGGTCCCTGGTGGTGTTCCCTATACTGTGGAGCCCTGGTGCTGTTTTTTTTGAAGCTGCGGGGCCCTGGTGGGGTTCCCTACACTGTGGAGCCCTGGTGCTGTGAGTTCCTGGTGGTGTTCCAGGAGGAGGTGGTGNTCCCTAACTGTGGAGCTCTGGTGCTGTGGGTCCCTGGTGGTGGTCCCTAACTGTGGAGCTCTGGTGGTGGTTCCTACAGGGAGGTTCTGCTGAGCACCTGGCTGTGTTACAAGCACAGCCTGGGCAGTTCCTGTAGGGACTTTGTCTGCCCAGGGCCCTGCAGAGTGAAAGTGCTGTGGTCATCTCAGTGTCCAGTGGCTGACCTGCACAGGGCCACACAGTGGCTGGACCTGAGTTTACATCCCCTGGGCCCTCTACTCCCTGATTCCACAGCCCCTGACACTGTAATCCTGTCGGCCTGATGCTGTGGTTCAAGTTCCTTTGGCAAATCCTTTGATCTTGTTTCATTTTAAATCCCAGCCACGTGCTAGTTTCCTGCTACGATGACCTCTGACCAGCAGGTGGCTAAAGAAGTTGATGCCCACAGGGGATGGATGCAGCAAAACACCATGGCAAACGTGTATACCTATGTAACCTGCACATTGTGCACATGTAACCCAGAACTTAAAGTATAATTTAAAAAATTAAAAAAAAAAAAGCTGCTGCCCAGCCAGAAATTGAGCTCCCTCCACTCTCACTCCAAGACATCAACTCTGCTGCCATCCCAAGACCTCATGGTGGGCTACTGTCCCCTGTTCTGGCCCACCCTGGGAGCCAGCATCGTTAGGCTGCTTACGGCCCCCCTGCTGCTGGGCTGCAAGGGCTTGATTAAGGTGGAGTGAGGCCTTTCAGACCCAGGAATGGCCTCTTTTTTTGCATGTGCCACCCATCTGGGGGAAGTGTGTTGCTACATTTTGGGCTGTGTTCTCCCTGGGGATCTGAGGGCGGGTAGGTGTTCACTCTGTAGCCCCCAGGGTGCTGCTCTGGGTCTTTGTGTTCCCACTGTGGGTTTTTTTCCCCTCAGCTCTGAGTCCCCAGGAGGGGTCCATGGCCATGGCCGTGCTGGGGGCCAGTCCTGGAGGATCTGGGGTGGGATTGGCTGCAGGGAAGCGGGGTTGCACCGACAGCTTGCACCCATGCGGAGCACGTCTGCAGGAAGAAATGCAGGGGGCAGACAGGTTCTGAGGGGCTTTCCCATGCTTGTCTCATCCTGAGGGAGCATGAGTGGGTGTCTGGGGTCCAGAGTGGCCCCACCTGCTGACTGGACACCTCAGGGCTTGTTTCCTTCCTCCAGCCCCCTTCACATAGCAGTGGTGGCCAGGAAAAGTGTGGTTTTTGAAGCTGATTGCTTTTGCAGGGAGGGCAGGGGTGCTAGTGTGTGCAGGGTGCGTGAGTGTGCAGGGTGTGAATGTGCAGGGAATGTGTGCGGGGAGCGTGTGTGTAGGGTGAGTGTGCAGGGTGAGTGCAGGGTGC